GTTGTTGTTGTTGTTGTTGTTATTATTATTATTATTATTATTATTATTATATTTTACCTTGAAGCAAGTTAATCTCTCTGGAATCGCCATCACTAATTATCCCAATACTCTTTGCTATTTGGCCATCCAAGACCCTTTCTACTGAATGAATAAGGCTTTCCAGTGTGGTCCCAGTATGTTCATACACTACCAGAACCACGCCAAGCTTTACACTGTCCACAATCATCTGAAATAAAATCGGAAGAAAACAACAAGTAAGAACATAGTTTTCAAATTAAAAACAAATGTGTTTAGTACAGTGGATGAAATTTAACAGTCTAAAGACGTTCTTGCATTGTAATACATTTGTACTTGTTATTGGATATGATTTATTTGTATGAAAACAAAAGGAAAACGTTAACATGATAGTCATAAAATGAATTATTCATAGAAAAGCAGGGTTGAAAATATAATTGAAATCCTCAAATGCAACCTGCTGAGATTGGTTCCATTATTAAAGTACTCTTATTCTCATTTTCCTTTTCTATATTCTGCCTTCCTATATATTAATTTATCCATTATTCTGAGCCATATACTCTGCATAGGTGTATTTTTATTTATTGGTTGGTTGGTTGGTTGGTTGGTTGGTTGGTTGGTTGATTTTGATGGCAGTTCTAGGTCACACTATGCCCAGTAGATTAGTTAAAACAACCAATACAATAGGACTGCTACAAAAGTCGTCAAAATACTCATCGTGGTATCCCTATTCAGTTGGGACTTGATGGAATAAGACTGCTTTCACTTGCTTACAAAGAGGTGGGAGTCACATGTAGCAAAATGGAGATATATGTTTATATAATCAGTTACTGCTGAGAGGTTGAGCCACCATGTCCAACCTTTACTTCTCAAAGGGATGAAGATCTCTACGTAGACTCTCCCATGATCAAATTGGGTGGGCAGATTTCACTCCATCAAGCTATAACAGGTTGGTATGCCATGTAGGACTTTATATAAATAACAACCAACACTAGCAGTTGAAACACTAGTCTACTGATAACCATGACAATGACTTCAAAAGTGGTGTTTTTCTGTACAGGACTGACTTGCCAACATTCCAGTTGCTGATGTTGTACCACCACTAAGTCAGTTTAACAATTTTCTAGTTGCCAAACCAGAAAGAAAACAAGACTATTGTCCAGAAAATACTCTATGCTTGCTTATGTCTCCTTTTCAAAGCTTCTTGCACTTCTGATGCTTAGGTAAGGTACCAAAAGAATTCACAGTATGATTTTACACACACACACATACACACACACACACACACACACAGAGCATATATTCCTGTTCATGCTAAGCCACAGTTGCAGTTAGCCAACAAAAAATATATTGTAAACTGTGATTTACTCTCCTAAACTGTTTTTTTAATTCAGTATTGTAATAAAATAAACCACATATAAATGTAGAAGAATGGAAACAAACCTCTACCATTATATGTATATGCACAGTTTAAACAACATAATGCTATTTCCTGTTTTATATGGCATCTTCCAAAGTTTATTAGTTCGACACTAGTTAGCAATAAAACTTAGATTTATATATCACTTCACAGTGCTTTCCAGCCCTCTCTAAGTGACTTACAGAGTCAGCATATTGCCCCCAACAACCTGGGTCCTCATTTTCCCTCAGAAGAAGGGAAGGTTGAGTCAACCTTGAGCCAGTGTGACTTGAACTACCAAACTGCTGGTAGCTGGCAGTCAGCAGAATTAGCTGCAGTACTGCATTCTAACCACTGTGCCCCCACGGATATTATAGATGCCTTTCTCCAATAATTGCATATGCATTAGAATGCCCACCACAAAAATGAGTCAGAAGGCTCTGTTAATCAGCCAACAGAGTTTAACATACTTATTCAGCTTGGAAAACTAGCATTTAAAATCTTCAGTGCAATACAAATATAGGGTGGGAAAGGCTACAGAGAACTAGCTAACTTTCTTTCTGTTTTTCACTCCTCCCCAATTGAAGCTCATACAGTATATTAAAAGTTATTAGATATGAAATCTATTTTCATTTTGTTTGCGTCCTTACGTTTTGTCCTATTTGACCTAGCAGATTTTCTGTTGTTTGATTGCTTTGATATATTTGGTTCATCGCTCCTCCTTATATGTACAAAAGGAAAAAAGACATCTCATTCAGTCCCATGGAGGAAAGCAGGAAAGACAGATTTCATAAAGTTTTACCTCATATGCAGGAAGGTGGGAGGATATTAAGACCAGGTGTGGATGGAGTGAATGCATCCCATTGGGGTACCCTTGGGAAACAGGCTGACAAAATCTATGAGACAAGTTGGGGCAAGAACTGCTACCAGTAATATTCCTTCTGTACAAATAAAAAGTTACATATGAAGTTGCATATGAAGTTTTATAATTATGATGATCAAATGTCACACAAATAAAGTTCCACTTAGAAGTTTCCTTTCCTCTCCACCCCAATCCAGTGGAGTGGCTTAGGAGGGAGAATATTTTGATGTGTTTTAATTAGATAGAAAAATATTAATTGGGCATACTATGCGTATAGTAAAGGCTATGGTTTTCCCACTTGCAATGTATGGCTGTGAAAGTTGAACCATAAGAAAGGCTGAGTGGCAAAGAATTGAGGCCTTTGGACTATGGCACTGGAGAAGACTCCTGCGAGTCCCTTGGACTGCAAGACAATCAAACCAGTCAGTCCTAGAGGAGATTAACGCTGCTCTTTAGAAGGCCAGATCCTGAAGAGGAAACTCAAATACTTTGGCCACCAAATGCTGGGAAAGATTGAGGGCAAAAGAAGAAGAAGGATGACAGCTTAAATGGATTCCAGAGGATGGTAGAGGACAGGAAGGCCTGGAGGAACATTGTTCATGGGGTCACGATGGGTCGGACATGACTTCACAACCAACAACAACAACAACGACTGTGAACCACCCAGGATTTTGAAAATGGGCCAAAGTATTTGTCTTTTAAATAAAATAAACAAGGTGAGGGTTGTAAACTATAGATTGATATGGGGCAGTGCTCCAATGGGTTGTTAGAAAAGGTCACATCAGTTCCTCCAACCAGTAGCATCAAGTGGAAGAGGACAGAAGCTAAGCCTGAAGCTTCCATGGTGCTCCCCCTTTTCTCTTGCAACTTCTGTGGTGAGCACAATCAACTGTGGCAAACCTCTACGAACTCTAGCTTTATGGACTTAGTAACTCAATGGCAGAGGACATCAATCCATGGTACAGCCAGACAGAGATAGAAAAATACCCGCCCAAAACTCTAGAGATCCATTTGCCAGTCAGTATGGATAATATTACATCAGATGAACCAATCACTGGGCCTCATTCATTCTGGGAAAGGTTCTGCATGCAGCAGCAGCAGCAGCAGCAGCAGCAACAACAACAACAACAACAACAACAACAACAACAACAACAACAATAGTAGCAGTTCTCCACACAACAGAACAAGAGCCCTAGGCTTGTAAAGCAGGGTCGGACAGACAGACAACACACATCTTCTCTTGTCCTAAAATTGCAACTAGATATGGGTCTCCCTGCAATTTCTGCTTAAAAAAAACAGAAATGTGGTAAGTCCAAACTTCATTTGTTTGAGGTGGGCAGAAATAAAAATGGAATAGATAAGTAAACAATAAATCACCTTTGATCAATCTTATTTCACACTTAACTTTTTAAAATGGTCAAGTCATCATGCTGGCTGAATGATCTCATTATTTTTCTGGCCACATTATGGCTCTGCTCCTTCCTGAATTTCTCATGCTTTAGGTGGGAAGTTAGCAGCAAGTCTGCCAGCTTAGATTTCAAAGCCACTCCCCTAATATTTCAGAGGCTGCCTTTTTTAAAAAAAATTATAAGATAAACAAGTTGTGCACTCAGCTTCCAAAGGTCATCATGGGGCTACATCCAGATTGAAGTCTCCCTCTAATATTACACTGGCAGATTTCCTCTCCTGAAACAGGATTTCCCCTGATGGTGTCTCCCCCACCCCCCATCCTTTCAAAATTGTGTGAAAGCAATGTATTTGTTCAGGAAGCTTCAGATCTGAGGAAAATGCAATTGCTGCAAAGCCAACAAGCCTTTCTGTTCCACTAGCAGGCAGAAAGAGACTAGACACTACACAGTGCACTGTTATCAGTCCTTCCTTGCTGAATCTCAAAAACAGCCAGGGCTCAGAAAGGAATACCACGCTATTTCCTGCCACAGTAAAGTTTCTCTTGGTCACCAACTGGAAACAGAAATTCTAAGGAAAATGTTTTAAATCAACCTATATACTAATTTTCTCAACCTTGGCAATTTAAGATGTGTGAACTGCAGCTCACAGAATTCCCCCGCCAGCCATGCTGCATATAAATCTCCATAGCAGCACCCACGGACAAAAGCTACCCCAGAGATAGGTATTTCTTGGCTATTTATGGCAGAATTAGATTAGCTGTGGCACAGTGAAGGGAGGTTCTACCATGTCCCCATTATAAGGAAATTAATCAATTAGTACCCAATGCAAGCAATTTTCTCTCTCAGACTGGACATTGTATACTGTACATAATTTGCAAAACAAAAATTGAATCCCGCCAGAGGAAGGAAAGACAAGAAACAGAGGGAAGGGGAGAGGACAAACAGAGGAAACATGTTTTCTCTCATTTCCTTCAGGGAGGACACAGCTATAGACAGACAGATATCTTCAAAGTTTACAGCTTTTAAGGAATACAGCAGGCAAGCAGATGCTGGGAAACACTGCTACAGCCCATATATAGCTCTATTGTCAAACCCCCATGTTGCAAGGAAATTCTGCTTCTGCCCCAAGATAGGGGGAATTTTTCTTAATTCATATGGTGAACAGGATAGGACAAGATTCCCTTCTCGCTCTAGCTCTCAACCCTTATAGAAACTTTTGTTGACTGTCTTCATTCCATATGCAGAAGAGACCTTAATTTGAAAAGGCATTTACCTTTCTGGTAGAGATTTCCCAGGCGACAATATGAACGGCTTCTCAGCTTCTAGTCTGAACCCTGATGCAGATTTATTCTGTTGATAAATGTGTTTGAAAAATAAATTATTTGTGGAAAGAACGTTTTCAATAAAAGCATTTAGAGAGAGGGGGGGGGAGAGAGAGAGAGAGAGAGGCATGTCTAAGAGGAACCACAACTCTAACGATGATAGGTGTATACTCTGGAACATGAATGTCAAACTCACAGGGTCACATTGCTGTCACGTGATATATTGCAATTTTTTTTCCTTCATGGAGCTGGGGTGGGTGTGGCCTACCTGTGACGCATCCAGCCTGCAGGCCACCAGTTTGACACCCCTGCTCTAGAACAGTGCCTCCAAAACTTGCCCATTTTGGGCAAGTGTGTGGACTTCAGTTCCCATTATTGCACAGCGTGCAGGGCCATTGATAAGAATTCTGATAGTTGATGTCCATCCCCTGAAAATGGCTAAGCTTGGGAAACACTACTGTAGTAAAGGCAAGACATCTAAGTGTTAAATTCCTACAGGAGGTATAGACTACCTGCTGAAGGGTGAGGAGTAAAGATGACACCATTTCTAGAGGCAGAGTAGGAAAAAAGGCATAGCCTCCCAACTCAGGTCTTCGAGGAAGGTTTCTCCTTTGTATATTATTTCCCTTTCATTTTTTCAGCAGATAAAGAAAAGGAACAACTAGCACCTAGAATCTATTTCTTGCATAAGAAAAGAAAAGAAGTTGCTGCACAGTTTGTCCCTTGGCCTAGACCCATGATGGCAAACCTATGGCACACGTGCAAGAGGTGGCACGTAGAGCTCTCTCTGCTGACACGCACGCTGTCACCCCAGCTCAGCTCTCTGTAGTGTTTCTTTCGTGAGCTTCTGTTTCCCTGCAAACAACAAAGCAGAAGCTCACAAAAGAAAAAGATGTTAGCTGTTGCTGCGCTGCCGGTTTTGGGATACCCCGTCTCCTGTCAGCCAGCTGATCTTCGGGTCTCTGCTGCGCATGCACGCCTGTCTGTGCATGCACGTGCACATTTTGTGCATGTCTGAGCATGTTCACACACACCTTTCTGTTTGGGCATGCACGCATGCAGTTTGGGCACTCGGTGTCTAAAAGGTTTGCCGTCACTGGCCTAGGCCTTCACAGTCAAGATATGTTCTGTGATTTGGAGGCATTAACAACTCTTAATCCCAAAGGCTGTTATAAGGATACAATTGGTAGGAGGAGAGATAATACATTGTCATTATCTTATTGACATTCCATTTTACATTTAAATTGCAATGGATCTTCCTGCATTTTCTTCTTAATGAATTGTTCTCTGAGAATATACAGGTCGGGAGCATGTTAATTTGCTCAGAACAAAAGAAAAGGGCAATATTTTTGATTAATACCGATCCCCAGACCATTGACATTTAATTCCTCTGTTGTTGGCTAAACATTTTAGTCTTCTGCTACAAAGATTCAGACTGAATCTTGAGCGGCTTCAGAAAAATCAATTTGCTGCTGTTTAACCAACTAGATCTGCCAGAAGACCAAAATGAAAAGTATCACACCACATCTTGAGAACTTAAGCAGTGCCTGCTAAAATTCAGTAAGGACTGTCAAAATACAGAAAATGCTGCATCCTGAATACAAAATTTCTCTAACAAGGAAAAAAGACACTAAAGACACTAGCTGTATTTGATACAAACAAAGATAGTGTCAGCTGCAGTCATTAGGGAGTACCAGACAAGATGCCACTACCCTACACCATCTTTGCTAGTTCTTAAGATTATTTGTGTAGGTCAGTGTTTTTCAACATTGGGATGGGAATGCTGAGAGTTGAAGTCTACTCATTTTAAAATTACCAAGGTTGAGCAACACTCATCTACATAGCCATTTAAAGGAGGTAGTTGAAGAGAATGGTTTTCCTACCATCGTTATTCAGTCAGGAGACTGATGGAAACACAGGCACAACAATGAGATTAACAATACCAGAGATTGGCAATAGGGACCCCAGTACCAACGTTGCTTGTTTAGCACATCCTCAGGCCCTAAAGTTCACTTACTCAGATGCCTACACTGCTCTCCTTAACACATGCTTAAGCTCTAAGCCAGTGATGGTGAATCTTTTTGGCACTGATTGCCGAAAAGGGAGCAAGCACATGTGCACTTTGCACGCTTGTCGGAGCCGCAACCTGGAAGAGGCGCAGCCAAGGGGGCATGTGCGTGCCAAAAAATGAACTTCCGGTTTCCAGTGTGGGCATGCGCACCACCCGGCTAGTTTTCCGGCTACTGGCATGCATGCATATGCAACGATCAGCTGGCCGGCGTGAATGCTCACACCAGAAAAGGGAAGACCAGCTCTTTCAGTTTCCAGCACTACCGCAAATATGAAGACCAGCTGATTATCATGCGCATGCGTGCCAGAAAGCCAGAAGAGAAACGGGAAACACCAGGCAACATGACTCCACGTGCCACTTCAGGCACTCATGCCATAGGTTTACCATCATCGCTCTAAGCACTGTTACTCAAAATTATTTTGGGGATGGAGACAAGTCTTAAGTGAAGCTCTATATGCACAGACATAACAATTTAAACATTTGGGGAGGGGAAAATAATACCTTCATTAATAATTTGGCTGATAATTTAGCCTTGTCATAGACAGATTGGGATAAATCTGGTGGAAATCCAGACTTGTAAAATCCTGAGCTCCGGGTTCCACTTATCCAAGGTGGACGAGCTTTGAATAATTCCTCTGAAAAATAAATCCCATTCAATTATATTACATATCAGCTACAAAAGGTGATTATTTATGCTCCCTTTTTCACTGTCAGGTTATACTATTAATTTAAAAATCTATTTTAATTTACAGCCAGTTCTAGATTTTAATAAGCTGTGCAAGATTCCTAATCAGAAGAGAATTTATATATAAATCAAAAGGCAATCCATAACTAGCCTCACATTTGGATCTTCAAACACATGCAACAAACAAAAAATGTAAACTCTTCTACTAAAAGGGGCAAAGCATTCACCACAGGTGTCATAATAGAAGATTGACATGAGTTGTTCAATTTTGTCCCCCTATTCTTTTTATCACAATGACTGTAATGGGAACATGCCATTACAGGAGGTGCAATAAAGGATTTGGTCCACAAAATTTCTGTCTAGGTTAGTTTAAAAGAGAAAGAGAGAGATTACTACCATGTTTTCCAGAAAAAGAAGACCCAACTGGAAAGCCCTAGCACAATTTTTCAGGATGTTCATAATATAAACCCTATTCCCAAAATAATCCCCAGTTAACACTGTCAGCCAGACATATGCATTTAGTACTGTATTACCCCAATAATAAGACATCACCTGAAAATAAGCCTTAATTAATCTTTCGGAGCAAATATTAATATAAGACCTGGTCTTAATTTTTGGAGAAACAAGGTAAGTGTAAATGCTGCAGTTACATTCTTTGAGGGAGATGGATAGTTCAGAAATGTAAAAAATAAAATAAAATAAATTAAGCTAACGGGGGAAACTACTGGTATCTAAAACAAACTGGCACAAGCAGAGAATCAAATTCATAGGAGCAGCAAGGAACAGAGGAGAATGACTCATTCTATAAACTGCATTCCACTTATGCAATCATTTGATATGACGCATAGGAATCATTCATTAGAGTATTTTACATTCAAGCCCCATGGAAAATAATTACATTAATTTAAGAAGGCATACACATACTTCAAAGAGAAGACAATGCCCTAATATTCTAATCACTTTGCTGCATTTGTGAAAATAGGTCAAACTGAGCCAAACTTTTTCCATTTTTCTGTCTAATGCAATTATTTAAAAAGCTATATATTTCAGATTTTAGTCCTTGGGGCTTGCTAGGCACTCCTATGCATCTCATATATTCTTAAGTACCTAATGATTCCCAGCTGCTATAGATAAAATATGGGATCCTCCCTTACTAATAACTGAACCAAAACTGACTTTTGCATACTGCCAGTTCTCCTCGAATAAATTTCGTAAGACATTTTGCTTGCCATCTTTCCTCTTGCTCTTCAATTTTTGTTTTGAGGTCACTAGTGGTGCTGTGGTATGCAATTCTCCTAGGAGTTAAATATTCCAGGCTGGTTGCACAGGCAATATAATATCGCTTCCAAGTGCCATATTCATTCTTTTCAGGAACATATGGAAGAAACCATCCTAACCTAAGGCATTTTGGCATCCACAGACAGTCCTTAAAGAAGTGAAAACATTTACTTTCAAAGAGAAGTTATTACGAAAACTTATCAAATCAAGTAAAGTATGATTTAATTGTTGTTAACATCAGCTAAGTAAGAGATCTATGAGGATGATGTAAACAAATACCAGCTTCTCCCTTTTCCTTGATCTGGAATGTACCGGTACATGCAATCTGTTTTATTTAAAAGAGAATTAAAGGTAATTCCTTGGATTTTAACTTAGGAGCCTCATCATTTGGTTTAATTTTAATTGGACTGGTTGATTTGAATAATTATTATGATCATACCCTAATAATATGTGGAAATAGAAGAGATATAGAAAAACAATAAGTAAAATTGATAAATAGTACAAAAATAAATAGACATAGAAGCAAGGTTATATTTAAATTCCATATGTATGTTAATTGTATTGTTAATTGGTGAATGGATCTGATAGATGCCACCTGAATGTAAAATTAATTATTGCTAATTATTGTATTGATTATTGGGCATGGATATGAAGTTTTAATTAAATCAATTTATTTATTCATGCCTCTAGACAGCAATCTACTTAATTAACAGTTAGCACTATTTTAGTGGTAGATAAGGGTTGGATCAGTCCATTTGTGACTACGTAGAATCCAAGCTGATTCCTTTTTCGACTCTGCCCCCAGATTCTGCCACTCCTTCTCCTACAATTGGTAGTTTCCCATTTTAAATTTGAATAAAGCCAATGAATTTTAATAATTGATAACAGGACTATTTTCCTTCCATATGGAATAAGAAAGATACCTACTTCATCTAAGGGCTCAAGATTGGAAAAGAAATTGCCATAATTAAGAGACAGGTAACACAAATGGGAAACATCACTAGGGAATGTTACAAACATTCATGCCATTTCAAATCAATAACCATAAGAACTTGGTGTTTAATTGGGATGACTACAAAGTGACTCTGTAATCCTCACTCTCAATTTTGAACTTGGTGGGACTTATTCAAAGAACAAAGGAGGGGTGATAACCTATGATTTTTTTAATGTTGCTGACATACAGTTCCTAGTATCTCACCATGGGTCACATAATCTGGAATAGTTGGGAGTTGAACTTCACTTAGAGGACCATAGTTCTACAACTCTAGCATGTAGCATTGGCTCACCTGAGAACAAGGCATAGTTTGATACTACCTGTTCAGTTAAAAATTTCCAGTGCCAATTGATTTGGGCTGCAGCACAAAGTTCCCTTGGACTGAGAAAGGAGAATATATAGAGAGATATGAAACGCGGCAGCAGAGTGGTGAAATCAACATGAGTCAGTGGGATATTTTCTACAAGCCATTTTTCAACACACCTATGAAACAAGGAAGGAAAACACAAAATGAAATAAATCATCGGAACTAGGAAAATACTTACATTTATTGCCAGGAGAAGAGGACTGTAAAAGTGAACCATGGCTTGTGTTAAATAGAAAGCAACATCATGTTTGAGGTTCTAAACATTTAATGAGTAAGCCATGATTCTCCCCCTCTGTGCTTTCTCCCCATATATTCAACTTCTCAAGTTCACTTGAGAAGAAAATTAATCAAGGAGAGAAGAAACTTAGAACTAAGGAGAAATTTCCTGGCAATTAATCTAGGTGTGGGCTGCTATGGGTTTGCCTGGGTTTGGGAGAACCTGTAGCTAACATTATGGCCAGTTCAGAGAACCTCCAAATCCCACCCCTGGCAGCCCCTTCCCTCCCGCCATGCCATACCCCTCCCCTCTTACTCCTCCCCTCCCAGGAGACTCCATGTGGCCCATTTTGGATGCGAAGTAAGTGTAGGGCCCGTGTGGAGGCTCTGGGAGGGGAGAAAATAAACCTCCCAGAAGTTCCAGAAGGCTGGAAATGGGCCCGGAGCCTAGGGGAAGCAATTTTCGCCTTCCCAGAGGCTCAAGAAAAGCCTCCGTAGCCTGGGGAAGGCAAAAACACGCCCCCACCATAGTGCAGGCAGCTCACTAGGCCACATCCACCATAGCCACACCCATCCAACAACCAGGCAGAGAACCTGTTGCAGAAATTTTTGAATCAATCAGTGGAACAACTTGCTTCCAGAAGTTGTGAATGCTCCAACACTGGAAGTTTTTAAGAAGATGTTGGATAACCATTTGTCTGAAATGGTATAGGGTTTCCTGTCTAAGCAGGATTGGACTAGAAAACCTCCAAGGTCCCCTCCAATTCTGTTTATTCTATTCTATTCTATTCTAGTCCTATATGTACTATTCTTGCATTTCTACTCTAGGGACTGATTCTGCATATTTTTCACATTTTCAGTTTTAAGATGGTTATAGTTTATGTAGAAATACAGGCCTTTCTTTTATTGAAAGCTGCAAGGGAAAAAAAACCAGGGTGAAACAATGCCCTTCCTAAATGCAGCTTTATTATTTCCAGATTAGAATTGTTGATCAGAATCAGCAGCCCTGCTGTGTTTTCTTGTACAAGACAGACTACTTGGTTCTTTTTTAGCTTTAT